GTACCCCAGTTCTGTATGTACAAATAAATAAATCTTTAAAAAAAAAAAAAAAGAAACCAGTTGAACTTGTAGATGTTAAGTCTATTATTTCTTTCCTAATTGTTACTGCTATGCTTCAAGTAAATGAATTTTATGATTCATTTCTAGGCTATCCAAGACATATTCTCAAATGTATTGGTTGACTTGAGGCAAACTATTTTTATGAAGTTGGGTAGTAGCAGTTGTTTATGACAAATTGTGTTGACAAGTTGGTTTCTAGATGTGCCTATTTTATTGTTCTAATATTCCTTTGTTAATTTGTAACCTACAGGAAAGCAATTTTGATAATCTTGATTTTGATTTGGATTTGATGCCTTGGGAGACAGGCATTTGGGACATTAACAACCAGTTCTGTACAGGTAATGATGAATTCACCAGTAAAAACATTGAATGACCTGTTTTATTTTCTAGTTTGCTAATAATCATAATTAGGTGGGGTTTTGGGCTACTTTGGTGGATTAAACATTCCAGATACTATATCTTTTACTTCTGATATGGCAAATGCATACATAAATTTCTTGTCAAAGTGAATAGAAAGAACTTCATACTTATGTTCCGGTTGTATGATGAATAAAGAATATCAGAAATATTGATTGTGATTTATATATAATATCTCTATAAGAGATTAACCTATCTGCAAACTGATAGAGCTTAGGAAATCAAAAAGAAGAGGCTAGGTTCTCAGAACTTAGGAACTTGGTATAGGAAACCTGTGATTTAAGGTATAGGGGCTTTTGAGGACAGGGAGGCACTGTGTGGCTGATGTTAGGGGGCTGGAAGGGGGCATATAGGTTATGCTGAAGGAACCTGGAACCTGGCACAAAATATCATTTCTGGGTTGGAGCTGAGGGGATGATGAAGACATCCTTTTCCCTTTTGCCCACCTTCTGACATCCTTCTAGTACCCCTTGTTGACAGGACCTACAGGGAAGCCAGTGTGGATTAATAGTTTGCACCCAGGCATTGCAGGAGGACGTAGAGCGAGAGGCAGTGACTGATAACAGGCACATCTCTTCATCTCAAGTGTATTCCACTTTGCACTTCTTGTTCCATTTATTTTGTGTGTTTATCTGTCTTCTCAATGCCTGTCTTTCCTCAGAGAGCATAGACCACACAAGACCAATGTTCTGGTTATGTTGTATAACAGACTATTCTGAAACTTAGCAGTTTAAAGCAACAATCCTTTTATAATGCTCTGTAGAATTAATGGGTCAGGAGTGTGGATAAGGAACACCAGGAATGGCTTCTCTCTGTCAGGATACCCACATCATAAATGGGATGGCATGATGGCTTGGTAGTTTGATATTTGGGAACTAGAACATCTGAAGTTTTCTTTAGTCACATGTCTGATGCCTGGTCTGTGTTGACTTGAGGACTTAAGGTGCCTCCAGGTGACCTGCTGGAGCATGGCCTCCTCTTGGCAAGGTGAGCCAATAGAGGTCGCACTCCTCAGGCTCAGACACAGAATAGAAATGTGTTGTTTCATGTCACCCAGCCTTGGAATTTATCTAGCATTATTGCCATACTCGATGGATTGAAGGAGTCCTAAGCCCTCTTAGATTCTGCAGAAGGGAAATACCTACTTTTTGATCGAGAAATGGTGATATTACATTAGAGAATATCAGGAGGGATGGTACACAATTTGCAGCTAACTTTAGAAAACACAATCTGCCACAGAGGTGGTTTCTTCCCCCATCCTACATAGGAATATTTCCTGGGCTTAGTAAATTTTTATAGAATAAATTAACTGTTCAAAAGATAGGAACTTTTTAAAGATTTATTCACTTACACATAAAAACTGGGGGACAGGCCAGAGGTGCAGAGGTGGAGAGTAAAAGGATTCACCAGAGATAGTAGAGAACAGAACAGGTGGATTGACCAAAATACACTGCTTAGGGGAGCAGTGGGTGAGACAGGAGAGGTCTGCTGCTCTATGTGGGGATCTTTGTAGCTCCCTGGCTGGGGATCAAACTGTGCTATGTTGGCTATGGATAGCTTCACAGTGCTGACACTCAGCGCCTTGTGCCACGGGGAGGCTGGGATAGGAACATTTTAATTGTATTGTCAAACATGCTTTTTAAAGTATTTGTTTTCTGGTTCTTGTATTTTTTAGAATTAGTTTTTGGGGCCGCTACAGTTTTTTGCATATGGCATAAAAGGTACAAAAAGTCTACAGAGTAGAAAATATCTCCTGTTCTTGTGCCTTAGCCAACAAGTTCTGATCCCCAGGGACAACCACTGTTGCCAGTTTATGTTTTTCTTTCCAGAGATTTATTGCAAATGCGATAAATACATATACAAATAGATAATATACTCTACAAATGGAAGCATTCTAGATCTGTTATTTTCTGCATCTTGCATTTTCACTTGAAAATATGTTGGTGACTTTAGCTTCCATATAGAGCTACATTTCTAAGAGTCTGTTTTATCTTCTTTTGTGTTCATTTTATTCTGATTTTATATTGTCTAGTGAGCACAATTTTACTCCATGTTTTTCAGTTAAGGATATTAAGATAGAATCTCAGCCCCTTTCCCCAGCCTGCTCAAGTTGTTCCGTGTCATCGCCTCAGTCAGTGGACTCCTGTTCTTCAACTCAGCATGTCCCTGTAAGTAGCTGTTCGTTTACAATTATTTTTATTAAATACTGTTTGGAAAATGTGTGTGTGAGAGGCTGTTAACATTTATTAAGTGCTTCTGTGAACCTTGTTTCATTTTATCAAGAGGAAACTGAGTCTTGAGGAAAGGCCATGGGGAACTAGAGAGTAGTTCATCTTTGACTCTCTCCTCACCTTCACAATCTCATTGTTTCACTGAACTTTTATTTATTATTATTTCTGTTTGTTTTCTTACTGTTTTTCTCTCTGCTACATTTTCTGCCCCCAGTTAGGCTATAGGAAGGAGGACTTTGGAAGAATGTAGTCTTTTTTGTAACTCCTTAACCCGAGAACTGCATATGGTGTCCTGAGTTCAGAATGCCTCTCGATACCTTCTGAATGGGTTAAGGGTTTTTACAACAGTCTGGCAGTTCCTTAAAAATGCTTTTGCTCTCCAACCAGACAAAAGTTCTGAGGCCAGGGAAAGGAAATTCTGAAGGAATGGAGAAAGAGAAAATAGAACAAGGAAGTTCAAATTAATGTTTCCATACATTGTATCTGTTATGAACTGAGGTATCATTCTGGCAGATTCTGCATATAGTTACTAAGTCTTGATGAATCTACCCAGTACTGTCTCTAGGATTTATCTCTCTGCCCAGTCAGCTCACTGTCATCTCGGTGGGGTTTTATCTATTTATTTATTTTTAAAGAATGATTTCTTTATTGTAAGATTTTTATTTAATTTATTTTGGGGTACAAGAACTGGGGTGTTAGGCCAGAGGTGTGGGGGTGAGAGGATTAGCAGAGACAGAGTGGGGAGCAGAACAAGTGGATTGACTGAAATACACTGCAGAGCGGAGCAGCGGGGGAGACAGAAGTCGGCTGTGCCAGTGGGTGAGCAACATGGCCAGGGACCCAGCTCGGGCCTTTTGGAGGTCATAATGGTCATAGTGCTGAGACTTAAACCGTAGGCCGCCAGGGAGGGGTTTTAATTGTTCTCTCTGCTTAACTTTTCATGTTTTTTGTAGCAGAGGATTTTTCTTAGATTCAAAAATCTTCCAGTCGTAAATTTGATTGTGTCCATTTTTTTTTTAAGATTTATTTATTTATTCATACTGAACTGGGGTACAGGCCAGAGATGCGGAGGGTGAGAGGATTCACCAGAGACAGAGTGGGGAGCAGAGCAGGCAGATCGACGAAGTACACTGCTGAGGGAGCAGCGGGCGGGCCAGGAGAGGTCTGCCACGCCATGTGGTCACCTCCGAGGCAGGCGGGGATTGAACTCATGTGGAAGTGGCTTTAGTTTCTCAGTGCAGTGCTTTAACCCGCTGCGCCACCAGGGAGGGCCTGATTGTGTCCATTTTTTTGCTTAAAACCTCTTAATGACTTCCCAGTCCTTGCAAGGGTGTGTTCAAGTTCCCAAAAAACATGGCCCTCATGTCTGACTTCCTTGTCTCTCCATCTTTCTCACTGTGTCCTCCACCCTTCTCACTTCTCTTTGCTTTAACTCTGAGGCTTCTCCCTGACAGCCCTGGTACACTGCACCCCTCCCACAGCTGTGCCAGCCACCATGCCAAACACAGGCAGCAGACAGGAGCAGGTGGCTCTTGTAGTTTCCTTTTGCGCAGGCTCTTCATTCTGTCTGGATTAGGCCCACTTTTTCCTTCCCTTGGCAAACTGTTCGTCCCTTAAGTGGGGACTTAATACTCCTCCTGTGAAGCTTTCCTGTGATTGCTATTATTAGAAGTTCTCAGTTTCTTCAAGTAATTTGATTTTTAAACAATTTACTTTTGAAGTCAAAGCGCGTAACAAGTTATTGACACAGAAGCCTGGTTTCTGTTCTTTTCTGTTAAATACTTCGTGACACAAAAGAGCATACTACTGGGTGGTCTGAAAAGTCATGGTGTAGTTTTTCTATGTTTTCTATACAAAAGTGCGCCATGACTTTTCTGACAACCCAATGTATCTCCTGTTCTACACCTTGCTTGTTTAACTTAGTAGTATGTCCTGGTGATAACTCCCACTTCAGGATATGGGATCCTGTTCATTCTTTCTTATGATTGCACAGTGTTCTGTTGTATTACTGGAATTTATCTTGCTCAATGACTTCCTTATTGGTGAACATTTGTTTGGTTTTTTGTCTTTTCTGGACTCATACAATGCTATAGTAAATGCTTTGGCATATAATTTACTTCATGTATTTGCCAAGATATCTCTGGATATATTCCTAGAGGTGAAATTGCTGAGATGACTGTTGCTGGTGACTGCCAGATTTCCCTTCCTGGGTTTTCACTTGTCTCTTTGGTTTGTTTTTGAAGTTTTGTTGAAGAAGTCTGCTTGCATGCCACAATGATATTTTCTTGCATTTTCTTTTATTAGCTCTATAATTGACACTTCACATTTAGATTTCTTAATATCTTAATACATGGGTTAGCACAGGATCTAATTTTCATTTCTCTAAAAGTGAATGAATTTTCTCAATTATATCACCTTTATAATCACTAGATATTTATATCTCTCTGTTTACTCAGCTTTTCTTTTATGCCTCCTTGTTAAGTTTCATAGTTTTCATTTATATAAATTCTGCATATTCTTTAGAAAATGAATTCCTAGGTCTTTTATTGCTATTATGAGTGAAGTATTTTTAGTATGTCTTCTGAGTGACTTTGACTATTTCCCTAGTCAAATCTTTGTTCAGCTAGCTCTGTAGGTCTTCTAAGTAGAGACAGTGCTTTGCAGAACAAAAGCACTTCTGTCTCTTCTATTTTGACATTTATTTTTATTTTATTTTCTAACATAACAGAAAATGTCTGCTAGAATCACAGAAAAGCAGTTCTTTGTTTCTCCTCCAAACTATAATGGGAATGCATTTAATAGTTCCCCATTCAGAGTACCTTGGCTGTAGAACTATGCATAGCTTTATTTTGCATGGCGTATGTCCCCAAACCCTTGTTTTGTAGGACTTTTATGAGGAATACTTGTGAATTTGATCAAATCACTTTTAAGCATCTAACTCATGGAAATTTTAGTCTCCTCCTGTGTTGTCTTGTACCCGTTATCTGTCCCCAAATGGGCGCTCTGCACAGCTTGTGCGGTGGAGCTATGGCCACTCGCTGAGCAGGTGTGACGGTGCTCAGTGGAGCACTTTTCATTCTCGCCAGCATGGCTGAGAGCAATCATTTCTCCTATATTCTCTCCAGGGCATTTTTATTTATTCTTATCTGATACATTTTTTTCTTTTAAATTTGTCTAGCCATATTTACATTTCATTTTCAGTGAAATGGCTGTTCCTGGCCTTCGTCCATTTTTCAGCAACTAATTTCTCCTGAGAATGTGTCTTTTAACTTTATGATGTTTTTCTTTATAAGATACCTTTCATTCACATCTATTTCTTCTTCCATAATTTATGCCTCTGGTTTTTTGACTTAAAGGGACCTCTGTCATACTGAGAGTAAACAGGTATTCTCTGATTAATGCTTACTGCACAATCTCTTGGGATTGAAATGCTACTTTTACTCTAAGTTTTTTTATTTTCACAGAATGAAACAGATTCACTCTTAATAGACTTGGAACACATTAGTCTCTTTATGTTGGCATTATCACATCACTCACTAAATAAAATAGTGCTTTAAGAGGATGGTGTAGATATACTCTGCAAAGTTCTTTTTCCTTTAGAATTGATGGGTGACGTTGACTTACCACCCATAGTCTTTAGTCCTCACTGGAGAGAGATACTGTTGCTGATACATAAGACCTTTGTGTTACAGTGTTTCTCTGTATATGGATGTTGCCTCTTTCTGAGCAGTTTTCTGGTAAGGGTTGTATTCTTCTGCATGAATTTGTTTGTTTATTTTGCTACAGGAGGAGTTGGATTTGTCATCTCCTTCCCAGCTGTCTCCCTTTTCCTTATATGGTGAAAGCGCTACAGGTCCTTCCTCACTAGAGCCCCTGAAGGAAGATAAGCCCGTCATTGGTGCCAGGAGCAAAACTGGTATTACTTCTTTAACTGAATTTATCTGAAAAGAAGCATTAATCAAGCACATGCTTATTAAACTGGCTTGTTTTCAGTCAGTGTATGAGTTTTGTTCGTTATGAATAATTAATGTGGAGTGGAAAGGGAAGAATTCATCTTTTTTGTTTTTATAGGTAAAGATACTTTAAAATAGACTTACGTCCCATCATCTTCAAGAGAGGTCTCAAAGTTGCAGTTAAAGATATTGAATTGTGAGCCATTTGGCTATGACATTTCTTACTTCCTTAATCACTAGGGTTTTGTTTCTCCTTTTTTTTTTGTTTCCCAACGCTGTAGCTTGTTGAAAAAGGAAGACTCAGATTAAACCTTTCTTTAGTTTGTCAAGTTATAGAGTAGCTCTAATTAAACTCTAGCTAAAGATAGTTATTCAGAGGTCAAGATAATGTAAGGAAAGATGTATAATTGAATCTGTTTTCTAGCATTTGCTTAATTATCCTCTGATTGATTTCTGGTTTGGTTTTTCTACAGAAAATGGACTGACTCCAAAGAAAAAAATCCAGATTAATTCAAAACCTTCAATTCAGCCCAAGCCTTTATTGCTTCCAGTAGCACCCAAGGCTCAAACAAACACCAGTGTTCCAGCAAAGACCATCATTATTCAGACACTACCAACACTGATGCCATTTGCAAAGCAGCAACCAATTATCAGTATACACCCTGCACCCACTAAAGGTACCTGAGTGAAATTTGAGGCTTCATGAATTTAGTTGGAGATGCTGAAACTAATGTCATATAATTTGTTTTAATTCAGGTTGTAGTTTCAGAGCATTTGCTGTATGTCAGGAATTGTCCTTGATTCTGAGAGGGTGTGTATGTATGGTTCTCATCCTACAAGGGAGGTAGTTATCACAACTGCACAAATAGTTCTTTTTTCTACAGTTTTAATTGTGAATACACCTGTCCATAGGACTTACAAGGTTTTTATATAACCATTTGTGATACAGCAGAAAATCTGGGATTTTTTTGGTATCAGATTTCTTTTTGTATGAAATTTATTTTTATCAAAAGGCTAGTATTTAAAAGCATATGGTCCATTTTGAATTTAATACATTGCTTTGGTAATAGAATCTGCCTCTTAATCTCAGGAGGCTGCATGGTTTGGTAAGTATGATCCTGAACAAGGCATTAGGAGACCTGAATCCCTCCTGCTGATAGTTGAAGCTGTGTTTCTATCTTTTATCCACTAGATGGCATCACATACTTGATTCTACAAGGAGTTGAGGTCAGTGTTGAAATTAAATACCAGAATTTGGGCAAACCCAGGGAATCATTTGCACACAGCAGTCTCTTAGGCATAGTACTCTTCATTATATGTGTTATGATACATGTGCACATGAGAAAAGGAAAACGCATGCAGGGTTCTCTGATTTAATTTGTCAGCACCAAGTAGCACTAGGTGTTAATGGGGTGTGAGTTGTAAATAAACCCCAATGTTATACATACTTTATGACTATATTTCCAACTGTGGGTTGTTAGCTTATTTATTTAAGATTGGTTTTAATGAGGGCCAGGTCATATATTTGACTTCCTGGTACTTTGCTAGCTTTGTGCTATTCCATAGTCAGACAGAATGGCACTGATAAAAAAAGAACAACGTGAGAAAGTGAGTAACTAATTGAAAATCCACCAGCCAGTCTCTAGCAAAAACTGTAAACAAACTCCAGATACTTGCCCTCTCAGGGAATAGTCAAAATTGCTGTCTTTTTTTAATGTGAAAAATAGTCCTGTGGAATGGATACTCTTGTGTTCTGTGAATGGAGTTAAAGTGTTCATGAATTTCTTGCAGTGAAATGTTAGGTGCAGTGTGTGCGTTCATGTGTGGATTTTTCTAGGAGTAGATTCTAAAACTTTTATTAAGATCACCGAAGGGTCTGTGTCTTCCCATGGCTAAGAAATTAATCTCATTGTAGTTCCCATAAACTATTAAAACACCGGTATAGAAAATAAAGTTCTACATTAACAAGGCTAGTGTATAAAGTAGGGGCTTTTACTACAAATTTGCTCCTAGCAGGCCATTAGGTATGTTTGAATGATAGATGGTCTTACTTTATAACAAGAAAACAAATGGCTCTTTTCTGAGCAAGTTTATCCATTCCAGAAACCCTAATTATACATAACTTAGATCTTCTGTGCTTTACTTTTAACTGGAGATAACTTGTTTAGGGGGAACTTGTGTTGATACAAGATACTTGTCTGTTTTTATAGTATAAGCTAGAAGGTGGTATTACTGTAACATACAAGTTTATGTGTATATGTTCTATTTATTTGAGAATAGGAGGTAAGAAAGAAGGAAAATACAGAAGGGGCATTTTTTTTTAAAGATTATTTATTTATTTATATAGAACTGGGGTACAGGCCAGAGATGTGAAGGGTGAGAGGATTCACCAGAGACAGAGCAGGGGGCAGAACAGGCAGATTGACAAAGTACACTGCTGAGAGGAGCAGCAGGTGGGTCAGGAGAGGTCTGCCACGCCATGTGGATCTCCTCCTGGGCAGGTGGGAATCGAACTCATGCAGAAGTAGAAGTGGTTTAAGCTTTTTAGTGCAGTGCTTTAACCCGCTGCGCCACAAGGGATGGCCCCAGAAGAGGCATTTTATAGTTAATTGATGTTAAGTATCAATATTAAGTACTTCTTACCAATGGAAATGAAATGATGTTCAAATTCTCCAGGTTGGAATGTAAACCCTTCATATTTTGCTTCATGTTAGACTCTAACTTTACAGTATTCTATATCTCCTTTGTACAAATCACTTTTTCCTTCCACCTAATCTGACCATCACCCCTGCATTCTCTTATTTTCCTGGCTCATAATGTTCTACTTGCCTGGAGCAACTTTTGTCTACTACATCTAAGTCCTGTCCCTTAAGACTCTTGAGTAGTGCAAAGGAGAGGTGATAAAAGCCTGGGCTGCTAGTGAAAATGGAGAATTGCCTCGAGAGAAGAGATCTTAAAAGTGTGGCATCATAGGGCGTGGTGATTGGATGGTGTGGAAGGATGACAACGGACAGAGGAAAATGCCTAGAATGATTTCCATGTTTCTTTGTGGGGCTTTTTGGGTAGTTGAAAACCATTGAAATGTAGGCTAGAAGTAAAATAACTTGCCCCATACGTTGTGTTAGCAGGAGGTGGAGCCAGAATTTGAGCCAGGCTGTCTGGGGCAGGATCTGTGTGTAATTAATTACATAGTGTATTGCCTCAACAGAACTCTGACTTGTGTTCTCTGTTCTCAAGAATTCTACCATTATTATGAGTTAATAAATTTACATTGAACAGTTAAATAATAGTAATGGGGATGAATTAATAATTCAAGTAATGCTCTTATAGAAGCTGTTATTGTAAAGAAAAAGATGAATTATTATACCAAAAATCAATAATAATAGAGTATATTAAAAAAGAATAGCTAACATTTGAACTCTTACTCTTACATGTCAGTCATAGTTCTAAGTATTTAATGCATTACCTCACACTCAGTCCTTATCTCAACTGTGTGGTAATTGTTATCTTTATTTCATAGATGAGAAAATGAACATACTTAGAAATGATTTACTCAAAGTTGTAAAGCTGTACTGTTTAAACCAAGTCAGTTTGGTTTGAGACATGATTTGAAATCTCTGACGGAGGTTGAAAGGGAACACTGGCACTCAGTGACTCACAGACAGACAGCCAGCATCCACACACACAGACCATCCAGCATCCTTTCTAGCCCCCTCTTCAATGGGGAGGATTTATATGTCATGCCAGAAAGGGTTTGAACATGCTGCAAACGATAAACAGCTTTTTGGTGTGTTCTTTTTAAGTTTCCATCTAGGACAGTTGTAACTATTTTCCGCTGTTATTTATTTAAGCCCCCCAGACAGTCTTCTCCTTTGCATTGTGTGACTTGGTCAGGATTTAGCCAGTCACCATGCCAGCTTTTTAGTTCTTTGCTTTGAACACATTGTGATAGAAAGAAATGTAGTTGTTTCTCCTCATTATGTTTTGAGCCCAAGTATGTTTAAAATATTTAAAGGCGCCTTGACTTGGCTGCTTGGTAACTTGAGGATTTGGACACTCTGGGATGAAAGGGTTTAATTTGCATCATGGATGGAAGGAGGCAGCAGTGGCCTGGGTTTGGACTGGGGGCCACGTTTGGTGCGGATCTTACCTCCATCTTCTTCCCTCTTTGATGGGGTTCTCTGAGCAAGGTCAAAAACAGTGCAGTCTTGAATTATTTTTCTTAATTAGTTGAAGAAATATGACCAAGACATCTGCATGTGCTTTAAATCTGGAACTGGAGCTAGAAACAAGATCCTTTTTTTGAAATGACTTCATTATTAATGCTTATTGTCTGCTGTGTTCTCCTCAAATGCATAGAGCAGTGCTTAGAGGTTTTTTTGTTATCATAGTTTTAAAACTTACAGGATCTGGAGCACTGCTTCCTGACATGTTGTTCTCAAAGTAGTGGGTTGAGTCAATGGTCTTCAGCCTGTAGACTGTGGATCGTGGGCTAGAGGTGGTGGGAGAAGTGCAGGTGGCATTTGCAAAGCAACTGCAGCTCTGTATTGTGGTGAGCATTTTCTGAGAACTGAGTAAATAATTTGTTTCATATATTTTTATACTGCTGTTTTCCAGTATTTTTTAAAAGACCTAATTGACTTTTTAAAATGATTCATAAATCAGGAAGCATCACTTCTCACTAATATCAGGATGTTGCTTTTTACAAGTTTTCATAGCTGTGCTTCTGAGTAATAAACTACAGATTTGTTTTTAAACATGACTCAGTTTTTAAAAAAAATTAAAAATTTAATATAATAGTTTATTTTTACATCATTTTGTGCCTTTCTATCTCAGTTGTAATCCCCTTGGGCTTCCCATCACCAAATCACCCATGTGCCATCACCATAGTCCAGTGCACTTCCCCTTGCCCTATTTTTGATTTTTGATTTCATTCCTCACTTCACCCCATAAAATGTCGCTGGTATATAGTTGTTCATTATTATTTCGCCCCCGCCCCAGTCCTTTATGGTCCTGCTATGAGTGAAACCATGCAGTATTTTTCATTTTCTTTCTGGCTTATTTCACTAACCATAAACATGACTCAGTTTTAATAACTTTTCCTCATCATCTATTTTCTCAAAAAGAAGAGGCATCCATGAGCATCTTGGTGGTATCCAAAATGTTTTTTGATAGTAAAGAGAAGTACCCTGTATTTAGGTTGAACTCTTCATTTAAACGTTGTATTATGATCAATGTGTATCTACATACTACCACATGGAGTACAATTTCTTAATAGTATTATTAAAATCCTAACAACATGGTTGTAAGCTATTTCTTTTATAGATTATTTCTATTTGCATATTTGACCTAAGCATATTTGTATTTGCTTATGAATTATTTCCTTATTTCATTTTTTGGTTTCTAAATAAGTTATTCCAAGGGAAAAAGAGAAGATAAAAATGTTCAGTGATCATTTATGCCTTAAGTAAATTGTATAATTTGGGTGTTTCTTACCAATTTACTCATTTATCTGGTATAAAATGCTGTTGATTAAATTCTACTTTCACAATAGTATACTTTGTGAGGCCATCTGAAACATAAGGACTTTGATTTCATAAACTATTTTTTGTAGTTAAGACAGATGTTCTAAGTAACAGGTGGTCTGAAGCATTTTTGATTTTTTAGTTTTCCTTGGCCCTTTGAAGTACTGAGCTGAGCATGGGTCATGTTACACATTCTGAAAGTATAAAGCTTTTTTTTTTTAGTTCCTCAGAGAAGAATTATATATGAGAGTTTAGTAGGTGGTTCCTGTACACCTTGATTTTGCTAGATTGACTCAAGCAGCTGTGGATATGAGGAAGGCTTTCAGCACCTTATAAAATTGGCCAGATCTGAATGGAGTCACTCAGCTGGCAGATAAAATTTTTAATAGCTTAGTATTAGGATTGCCTGGGTCTTTAGTTAATGGTATCATTTTTCCTCAAGTTAGCAAATTCTAAAAATAATGATAAGTATGAAGACTAAGAGAAGATTTATAGACTTTAATGATTTTGGGGGGGAGGAGTTGTGTCATGTACCAGTTATTTTTAAATTACAGATTTATGTTGTCTGTGTTTAGTAGCTAAAGATTCATCTCAAGTGGTTATAACAGTTTTGATATTTGTAGCCCTTATTCTCCCAAGTATTGAGTTGAGTCTCTGTTCATCTTTTGTCGGTGTCGTATGTATTTGTAAATCCAATTATTTAAAATGTAGTTCTCTGTGTTTAGTATAAAAGGTTTGTTATTTGTAATAGGAAAAATCCTTTTAGCATGAATATATTTTAGAGGTTAATACTTAGAGAAGTCTGTATAATTTAACAACTTTGACATGCCTATATATAGTTGAGAAAAATAAATGTGGAAATATACCCATATTAACAATAACATCAGTGGGCATGAATTTAGTTGGTTTCATTAAAAATGCAACAATAGCAAAGGTTGCTATGAATGTATATTGCTGATCGTATTTAATTTGTGATCTCAAATACCTCAGTATGATCTTACTATTCTATCTGCAAAGCAGACTGAATGTTTCCCGTGCTGTTATGTTGCATACCTCTAATGCCTTTTCTTTTTTTCTCTACTGCAGCTCAGACTGTTGTGCTTTCTCAGCCTACCATGGTACAGCTTCAGGCCCCTGGAGTTCTTCCCTGCCCTCAGCCAGTCCTGGCTGTCTCAGGGGGAACCACACAGCTACCTAATCACGTGGTAAATGTGGTACCGACCCCAGTGGCTAACAGCTCAGTGAATGGAAAGCTTTCTGTGACTAAACCAGTCTTACAAAGCACCATGAGGAGTGTGGGTTCCGATGTAAGTCTTAAAACTTAGTGTTTAAATGCTTGATTTCTTTTGTGTTAAATGGGAGCGCAAGCTAAAATTGCACATGCAGTCTCGAGTGGAAAGTTAGTTTAACCCTTATGTTTGAATCTAAGTGAAATGTTTTTTAAAAAGTCTGGAGTGGTCTGATGAACAGCAATACCTTCTTTTTTTTTAACTACCTCTTTAGAAACCTTCTTCCACATAGCCCAAGGCCCTCCATCCCCACTCCAACCCCCTTCATCAAACATTAGTATTTTGCAGGATTCTTTCATGTTTCATGGTTGAAATGCTTTTTTGGTAACTCCTCAGGTACGAGTCTAGATAACTTTTCAGTCAGGGTTTATATTTAACTTCTCCCTTGACTTACTGAAGGGTTTTCACCACTTTGTAATGACAACTTGCTGCTTTTAGGAATTTGGTCTCTTAATGATTATTTGGTACTTTCCCAGCTTTGCAGATCTTCAAGTTTTCTAGCATGTTGTAGGGATTATATATTTAAATTTATAAGCCATAAAGAGTTTCCTAAGAGTGATAGCACTCCCTAAAACTAGCTCTAGCACTTGGCCACTAAAGCTTGTGTCCTTTAAAAGTGATTCAGTGCATCACATGTACTAAACAGCAGTTGGACATCATGGGATCAACTAAAATTGAATGAAAGTTAAAGTTAAATAAGCTAAGAGAGGATTTATTAAAATAGTGTATGGGAAGCAAACCTTATATGGATATTACCTGTGGTAACTCTTTTTCTTTAGGTATTACAAAGTACTTTTAAATTCCTGTGAATACAGCAGGGTTGGATATTATATTACTGCCTGACCTGTCCATAAGAATTTGCTAAGCAGCACATCAACTTTCTATTTAGTTACAAAATTGCTCTGCTGTGCATAGACATGACTGATATTGTCTGATGAAAGCAGAACACTGAAGTTCTCTAGTAGGTTCCATCGTTTATTGGAAACAGTATGTGCCAAGACATGAAAGAGAAAAACTACTGGCATATAAAAATAGACATGGATAGTTTGGGATTGGACTCTATTATGCTAGCTTATTTTGAGGACTAGAGAAGGTAAGCACAGTACCTATAGCATAAGGGTCACTAATAGATAGTATGTGTTTCAGATGATGGTGAAATGATAAGATGCTGGGACTTGCTTTTTTAAAAAAAATTTATTGTGCATACAGAACTGGGGTACAGGCTAGAGGCTTAGGGGCGCCAGAGGCTTAGGGGCACCAAGAGGCTTCACCAGAGACAGAGTGGGGAGCAGAACAGGCGGATCGATGAAGTATACTCCTGAGGGGAGCAGCGGGCTGGTCAGGAGAGGTCTGCCATGCCGTGTAGTCACCTCCGGGGCATGCGGGAATCTAGCTCATGAGGAAGTGGCTTTAGCTTCTCAGTGCTGTGCTTTAACCCACTACGCTACCATGGAGGGCCTGTGACTTGCTTTTAAGTACTCCATGGGAAGGTGATGATCACAGACAGAGATGGGCAAAATGCTGATAATTATTGAACTTGGGTGTTTAATCTTTCTCTTCTCTTGGTACACAGGGAAGTTTCCACAATGTGTAAATAAACTATAATAACAAACCCCAAAATATTCTGTGATATTTTCAGTTAAAAAGTTGTATAGACAATAAGAAAGGAATATACTTTTTTTTTAAAGATTTATTTATTCATACAGAACTGGACAATAAGAAAGACAATAAGA